AGGAAATCAGGGCAGGAACTGCTGGGAGCCATTCCCCAGTGGTGGATGGGTCCTGCAGAGGGTGTAAGGAGTCAGCGGGAGAAGGAAGAGAGCCAGGCCATGGTGGTCGGGAGAATCTTGCAGCCTGACTGACTGGCAGCCAGAGTATTTCTTTATTTATACAGAGTTTAGTTAGCAGGGATACATTCATGATGTTCCAAAACATAGATCATATCATTTTTTTTGGACATGTGTTTCACTTCCTTTTGCTCATCTTTTAGCCATCATTAATAAACTATGACAAAACAGAGTTATCATTTCCAATCATTTCCCCTCAAGTTTTGACATCATTAATAAACAGAGTTATCATTCTTACTCATGAACCCCATAACCCAATTTTTGAGAATCTAGAGGCGTATGACAGCCTGTGCTCAGGCTGGTTATTTTGGTTGCTTCAAGGATATTAGACCAAAACAAAATATTCAACCACCCTGGACATTTTGCCATGTCTCAAGCAATGTATTATTAACTCTTAGTGGTCAGAGGGCCCAGGAAAAACCCTCAGGCTAAAACTGCTGTAGTTATTATTCAAATTCTGGCATAATACAATCAATGTTCACATTTATATCCTTATAGAATTGGTCTATATGTCTAATCCTGGCATTCTGTTGTTCCTTGGTCATATGACATTATAGTGGCTCTACATGAGCTAACTTCTAAGAGAGGGAGGTCTTAACACCTCATACTTTTATCATCTTTCCACTCCATACTTTACTTATCAATATGTCTCTATGTAGGGCAGAGTTGTATGCCACGTAATTGTCTGAGTGTACAGTGGGAAGAGGCTTGTAATCTGAACTGTGGACAATTCTTGTAGCCCACTGAATCTTGTTGACCTTTTTAAATTTACTTTGTTTTGAATATCTTGTTCCAGTGTAAGTAGAGGGACAAATGTTTAAAGAATGTCTCATAAAGAGACCTGTGGCTACTTTATGTGTCACAACCTCCAAGGCAAAAGGAAGACCTTCAAGTAGATAAGGATATCTCCCTCAAAGTGTGTGTGTATGGGGGGGGGATAGTATATTCAAGACTTTCCTGGGTGAGCTTAGAAGGAGCATTCCTTGAAGAAGGCATAAATGATTCATATGGAATTTTCTATCTATCCAATACCCTCAAATTGTACAAATATTAAAAGTACCCCAAGTATGTAACAGGTAGAGATGAAAACCAAAGGTGACATGGCAGCCATCATGTGGCTCAGCTCTGCTGGATCTTTGTCAAGTAGCTGTGCTGGCTTTATGACTTCTGCCATTCCATTCAGATATGGCTGTTCAAAGGAACATGGAAGCAGAAGCTGATGTAAAGAAGAGTGCTGCTTACTGGCTTGTTCCCCATAGTTTGCTCAGCTTGCTTTCCTATAGAATCCAGGACCACCCACTCAGGAGTGGTTCCACCCCCAGTGGATGCCCCCCACCCCCAATCATTATTAAGAAAATGCAACATAGGCTTTCCAGTAGAGCAATCTGGTGGGGGCATTTTCTCAACTGAGTTTCCCTCTCCTCAAATGACTCTAGCTTGTGTCAAATTAATATAAAACTAGCCAGTACAATGCATTCGCTGTCATTTTCCTTAAGGCTTCATAGAACAAAATCTATTTTCCCTGTCAGAAAATTCTTCCTGGAATTGGAGAATCTGTGAAGATTGATGTATGCCATCATATATATCTTTTTTTCTGATGACGAAACACATAGTTCTCCAATTCTTCCCTATCCAATATATCATCCAAATCTTCCATAGTCCTAGATAACCCCCATCTACATTAGGTTGATCTGACATTTTTATCAAGTGTTATTTAGTGCCTGAGAAGTGAGTAAAGCACAAAAAGTCCAATTAAAGGGCTTGAGTTGTTAGAAGACATATGGGAACAACACCTACAGCACTTGCTTATCCTTGTACCCACCATTGCAACTCTAGGCACAACACCACTGGCATTTTCTAAAACAGTATTCTCTGGCAAGGTCCTCCCTTCCATCAAGGTTTCTTCTACACATTGTTCTACTCTGTTAATGGTTCTTTCCTGACCCTGGGGGGGTCTCCTTGGTCTCCTGCACTACTACTAAGGTTACTTACTCCTTATCACTTCCCTGCTTTCTTTCTCAGCCCTCTTGGACCAGCTTCTTCTAGATCATCATCAGTCTAGATCCTCCCAGTACACCTGACAATAAACCTTTCCTAGCCCCCTCTTGGCAAGATATCCTGGAGTATGCTGTTCAAAATATTCCCTGCTGGGGCTGTTCCCATGGGAATCAATAAAAAGAAAAGGTATTGTTGACTTTTGTTTGAAGACAAGGCAGAAATATTAATTGGTGTCTAGGTGGTTGAAAATTCACTTTGGATCCCTACAGACAGTGTCTCAAAAGCATTCTATTAAATACTCTTTTCTTGGGGCCTGATGGTAGCTTAACCTCTTACCCTTCTGTAGGTCAACCAATGCAGTTCTTTGGTGAGTAACAGTACAGGGTAGGAAGAGGGACATATAAAGGCTACATTCATATTTTAACCATCCTATAGTCTGGGTTGATGGTCTTTCTATAGTGAAAAGGCATGCTCTTAATATCATTAAGTAAAGTTGAAAGAACAACATAGGCAATACTATATACTGTGTTAGAAACCTACACAGACCTTTGCAGGGTGTTATACAGGACAGACACAGGAAGGAATGAGCATGTGAAAAATTCCTTGGCAAAGCAGGCAGTTCAGTCCTGGGTTAGGAGGTTTTTTGGAGGCCTGCTCCTCTTTGATGCCTACAGGGCTACTCACAGGAAAACATTTATAAAAGCAATCTGGAATTGAGATTTCTCTGGCTCCTTAACCCCTTGCCTCTTTTTACTTATTTCTTTGATAGAGACAGAACTGCTAGGTTTTTGGGTCAGATATTTACTTAAGGCACATGGACAAATAGTAACATTTTCTGATCCAAGGGCTACCAGGTGTAATTATTTCTAACAGTTTCCTGAAGACAGAGACTTAAGGATGGATTGTTTAGAGGATAACTTGAAGCAGATGTTCAGGTGATCAGAGTCACACTTCTCTACACCCTCTATTCCCCTCACAGCACCACATTCTGGAGTGATTAGGAGAACAGTGTGTTGCTGGGAAGGGAGAAGGGGTCATGATGGGTGGGAGTGGATACAGCACTTTTGATCAGGTTACTCCAGTTACTACACCCTGTCTCAAAATCCCCAAAATTTCTATTACTCTTAGCCAGATTGCTTCCAGCATATTATTTATTAGGTACAGTCCAATTAAAGGGATATTTTCAATATTTGACAATTTTTATATTAAATCTCATTCAATTTTCACTATGTCTCTGAGGAGCAGATTTTAATATAATTATTTCACATGTGAGGAAACATAACTGGATGTTTGGAAATGGCTAGTTGCTTTTCTTAGGTCAATACAGCTGACAAGTCAGAAAAGATAACTTTGTAGCCTTCACAACTGTCATTATTGCACAGTCCCTTGGCAGCTGTGGTTGAAGGAAAAGAAAATATACAGCTTCCTTTAGAGGGAGAAGCAAACTTTCTTGGCCATTTTAAAACTATGCTTTCTTGAGCCACATGCCAAGATGACTTTTGTTTCTTTACCTTGTAGTCAGAGACTCACTTTTGTCATCATTGGGGATATAAGATCAGTGGGTATCACTGATCTCTCCCACCTAGCATGTGATTCACTTCTTTTACACCCAAAGCTTTTCTAGATGCTGAATATGGTCATTAGAGACGTATATTATTAGCTCATCTTGGCAGTCAAATAAAATCTGGAAGACAAAGATGCTGTCACATGAAGTATTTTTCCAGATGTTCATATTTTGGGCAGTTTCTGATGTGTGGCTGGTTAATGTTTGATGACCACCTGAGGTCAGAGCTGATGAAGTCTTTGTGTCTTTGTGTCCCTGTCCTTATGTTTCACATGAGAGGATCATGGTTCCTGAGGTATTAAGATGTCAGAGAGACACAATCCCCAAGTCACTGCTCCTCAGTTTCATCATCTATATTGTTATCCTCTCTTGGTCATGGTCCAGGGGACCTAGATCTTCTTTCTTGGCCTGTAAGAGCCACTCTAACAGAGACAGGAGAGAATCTTCTATCTTGGTTCAGTGCCTGTGAGCTGTGGCTTTATTCACTTATGCAGACCTGTGACACCGGTTCATTATTTCCTCTTAGATTGCTGTTTCTCTTGTAACAGACAATAATGACATTTAATAGGGAGCATCTTGGGAACACAGATAATGTTGCAAACTGTTGCTGTGATAACTTTCTGTTCCACTCCCAGTAAGTGGCTACAACACACAATTCTTTGGCCTTAATATTACTGATGTGTCCAAGAGCTTCTGTTTATTTTCCAGGTCACCAAAATGTTTAACACCAACACACTAGCACCTTGAAGGAGAGAGAGATGCAGCAGAAGGCAGTCAGTCACTGAGATATTGGATCAGAAAGCAAGTGAACAGGATGGGAATAATGCAAGAAAGGGCCTGATCAGCGTTGGAGTCTCCAGGGACTACACATTATTCTCCAATGTTGGCAGTCAAATCAAATCATGTGTGGAAGAGTGAGTTGCCTCTAATTGAAGGATTTTACAGATGTTAGTATTTTTGGCAGTTTCAGGAGTTCAGTGGATTAAGGGTTGCTGACACTGACGCCAATGATAAATACATCAAGTACCAGCATTTGGAGTATGAGCTTGAGAGGAAGGATTTTAAACTAATAATACTTACTGTATACTTACAGTTAAATAAATTAGCATAGAACACACATACATTGTGGATCTAAGCTTAGAATCTGGTTTCTGAACTCCTCACCAATGAATTTCCAACTGTCTTACCTCTTCTGGTTTGAAGATGTGCAGAAATATTGAATAAATTGAAATTTATTTTTGAGCATTTCTTTAACACTAACTGTCGGGTAAGACTGATGTGGTGCTGGTATTGACGTCAGTAAGACTGTACACCCTGACTTCCTATTAATCTTCACTCACTGGGTCTTGTATCTTTGCCTTTTTTTTACAGTGACCCTTTGCTCCTTGGTGTGGGATAATGGCCATGATTCTTTCCAATAATTCTCACCTCCTTCTACATACTTTCTTCTTGGCTGGCATCCCAGGCCTGACTGCTGCCCACATTTGGATATCCCTTCCCTTCTGCTTCATGTTTGTCCTGTCACTAACTGGGAATGCAATCCTGCTTTCTCTCATTTGGACAGAACATAGGCTTCACCAGCCCATGTTTCTGTTTCTTGCTATGCTTTCTTTTGTTGACTTGGTTCTCTCCCTCTCCACTCTTCCCAAGATGCTGGCTATTTTCTGGTTTAGTGCTACAGCCATCAGCTCCTATGCCTGTCTGTCCCAAATGTTTGTCATTCATGCATTCTCTGCCATGGAGTCAGGGGTGCTGGTGGCCATGGCCTTGGATCGCTTTGTGGCTATCTGCAACCCACTGCATTATGCAACCATCCTTACTCCTGAAGTTGTCGCCAAGATTGGAGGGCTGGTGGCACTGAGAGGTGTGGGTTTAACCATCTTCTTTCCAAGCCTGGCCCATCGACTGTCTTACTGTGGTTCACACACAATTGCTTATACCTACTGCGAGCACATGGCAGTGGTGAAGCTGGCCTGTGGGGCTACAACCATGGACAGTCTCTATGCCTTGGCTGTGGCAATCTTTCTTGGTGTGGGGGATGTGGCCTTTATTGCCTACTCTTATGGACAGATTGTCAAGACTGTGATGCATTTTCCTTCACCTGAGGCACGCGGCAAAGCAGGAAGCACATGCACAGCCCATGTCTGTGTCATTCTCTTCTTCTATGGACCAGGCTTTCTTTCTGTGGTCATGCAGCGCTTTGGGCCATCCACAGCCTCTGCTGCCAAGGTCATCCTTGCCAACCTCTACTTGCTCTTCCCCCCTGCATTGGACCCCATTGTATATGGGGTTAAGACCAAGCAGATTCGAGAGTGTCTATTCACAATTATACGCTCCAAGAAGATTGAACCCACTTGACTGTTGTTTTTGTCAGCTGGAATTCAAGGTCAAGATGCCCTTTCTCCATAGATTAGAACCTCTACTGCCCAAGTCATTTGCCTGATGGTGACAGAAGGCATTCGGGGATATTGTAAGAAGGGAAATCTTTTCTGGGTTCTCTGATGTTTGCATATTGGAATTCAAGACTAAGAAGGTCTGTAGGATCTCAGTTATTCACTAAGCGGTACCTTTTGGCATCCTTTTCTTCTAAATTTGATAGTTTGTGTTGATGATATAGATATAGCAGTTAAGAAATAGGATGTTAGCTGGGCATGGAGATACAGGAGGGAAACTGAGGCAGGAGAATCATGAGTTTGAGGTTAGCTTGGGCTACATGGTGAGTTGTAATCTGATGAGGGCTACATAGGAAAACCATCTCTCTCTCTCCCTCTGTCTCTGACACACACACACACACACACACACACACACACACACACACACACACACACACATAGATTTTTTTATATATTGAGACTCCAGGAATTTAGTGAGCATTGTAAAATAAGTGCTTGTTCTGGACACTTGAGGAAATGAGGCAGCTCCCACCATGTAGCACTCAGCCTCCACATGGGAGCAGAGATCCTCTCTACCAGAGAAAGTCTGGCTTCAGAGAAAGAGAGATAGCAAATCATGGAGATGTCTTGGAGTTTGAGTTTATGAGAAAACACTTTAGACTCTTCATGCCCTATTTGTTTCCAGAGTTGCAGGTGAAGCTTAGTTTATTTTGTATACTCGTTCAGTTTAATTTGGTGATAGACTGTCCTTCTAGTACTGTATACTTTTAAACCTTAAAAATAATGTATTCTTCTCTTTCTCCATATTTAGTCTGAAGAGTAGAGACTCAAGGATAAACATACCCAGTATTTTATCTTGATTCTCATTCTGCTTACTATTTTCTCTCTTCCTTTCTAACCCTCTTGCTCATTTCCTCCCAAACTCCTCCCATTACCACTCACTTTAGTGTATCTGTTATATGGTTTTATATCCTCACATGTCCTTGAAATGCATAGTATTGCCATAGTGTTATATATTACACACACACACACACACACACACACACACACACACACACACACACACAAGTTGTCTAAGTTCCTCAAGTGTTTGTGTTCCCTCCAGTCAGTTAGCCAAGATGCCTGTTCTTAAGCTCACTGTTTTTGTCCACCTTTAACCATTTGGAGGATTTTCCTATCACATCAAATCACCTGTTTTCCACCATCAGAAAACTTGTCTATTTCTTTCATCATTTATTATAATTTACAATTGTATATATATTTTTGAATGGATGAATTATTTCTGCATCCACAGCACAAAGTGATTGCATTCTTGTAATGGTTCCTGGCATTGGATAAGTAATAAATGTTTGCTTAATAAATAAACAGATCTTTCTTTAATGAACTACTTTAGGAATAGCACATTTCTTCATCATCCATATAAATATAATATGTGTTTTTGAATAAATAAATAAATCTTTATAACAATGAGTATTCAGTATATTTTATTGAAATGAAATAAACCATTGTCATCCTTTTCACATCACAAATACTGGTGTCTTTATCATCATAATCATGATTGAAATCTCCTTCCATTCTTTCCAAACGTAGTAATTTCAAATGGCTGTGTTTCAGGTCCTGCAGAGAGCACTGGAGGATATGCTTCCCCTTGCAGGACAGACTTATGGCTGTATGCAATCACCAAACAAACAGAAAACTAGCATTTGTCTTCTGGTCTTCACTCATTCCTCCTTTCTTTTCCTGACATTATTTTCTTTCATATAATATTTCTCAGAATTTCAGAATGTTAGCAAGATGATGATCTGGGAGAGAGATTGAATAATTTCATGATTGCTAAGGTGGATTCTTTAGGTGGGTGACAGGTTGAGTGAAGGTTATCTCCAAGTGACTTAGAAATCTCTGAGGACTTTGGATAAACTGCTTTGAACAAGTCTCTGAATATCTTGGATTAATGAAAAATATTGTTAATAAAGGCAGATCTTGTGTACTCAGCTCTTACACTGTGGTTCCTTGAGATAAAAAGTTGGTTTATGTTCACATTCAATGTCGTCCAAATACAAGCAGTTTATGTCATTATTCTTTTCATTTGGTGTATGATGGAAACTCAATGACACTGTGCAGCATTGCAAGAGAACACTACCACACATCACCATCTTGGAAAAGATTAAATTCACAATTGTTTGTCTTAGACTGAATGCATAACACTTTTACACCACTGTAAAGCTGGACACTAGGACACTGAGAACCATGTGCATTTATTTAATGAATGGACAGATGTAGCTTCCTACAATGTGTGAATGAAATAGTTGTTGACAAGAGGAGGGAAAAGATTATGAGCTGAAGCATTTCTGTTATGGAAACTATGGGATCGATGTCCTTGAGAGCCACAGTCTGAGAGAGTTGGCATTTGTTTTAGTCTGGGTTCTTCAGAAACAGACTCTAAAGTACAAATTCAAATTAAAGGAATTTGTTGAGAAGTAGATATGGGAGCATCAATATGGAAGAGTGAGGGAAACATGATGGGCAGATGAACTTACACTGTGGTATGGAGTTCTCAGCTGCATTGGTAACCCAATAAGACTTCTTGAGCTGGAGACACTGTTCAGAATTTTTAAAGAATTTGAACAAAGTGGGTTTTATCTTTATATTCTTACATCACTAGTCTAGTCAGTGCTGAATGGAAAAGAAAAATATCCTGGGGCAAGAAAGCCTCTTAAATTTTTATTCCTCCATAGGAGAGTGACTCAGTTATGACTTCCAGCAACTAATGCTTCTAGATCTGGGATCATAGCACCCACTAAAGATGAAAAATTCACCGGGGCCTAAGACTCGTCTGTGAGAACAAGAAGTATTTAAATGCCACATCAGTTTGAGGTTCATGGCTCACAGAGCATGCATTTCCTAGTGCAGCTCTCATGGTGTTCAGGCTTAGGAGTCATTGTCAGCACTGCACAGAGCCTAGCCACACAGTTCTGAGTGGGTGCCACCACTAGCCTTGTCTCCCTGCCCACCCCCACCCAACCTCTGGGAAGTTCATTCACCCCGTGACTCTCCTGCCAGTCTGAAGTCTAACTTAGACTTTGACCAAAGGTGTCTGCCAGTCCTCTGAGACCTGCCAGTGGGTATTAATACCCTTTCCCAGAGCCTGTTCGTAGTTATAGTCCCTCCTTTGAGGAAACGTTAAGAAGGGACTTCCATAACTTTCACAACCAGTGACAAGATGAGGCACAGGACTTGGGCTGTGGAGAATGAGGTCAGATTTGGAACTTGGTGGTGGAGGAAGCCTACTGATAGCTGATTTTTTTCACAGTCCTGTGGCAATGATTCTTAGCTTGGTTAGTGGGGCTGAAACTCTGCAAATACACTCTTTTAACACATCTTGGTAGTCTGTGTATGTGTGTGTATGTATATGGTTTTGTGGGTGTGTGCATCAGTGTTGGTGGATGAACCTGAATGAGAAAGCCAGAGGAAGATGGCAGGTGTCTTCCTCAGTCTCTCTCCACCTCATGTTTTTGGAGTTCACTGACTCAGGCTGGCCAGTGAGATGGATCATCTGGCCCACAGTGCCTGCACTGTAGGGGTTTGACCGACTGAGCTTTCTCTCCAGCCCAGCACCTCTTAGTAGTTTTAGATTTGTTTCTCCTGAGTCAGAATGTTTGTTCTTTCCAGGTCTGGCCTAGGCACTGTCAGGGGGAGTAAAGCACAGGACACAGAGATCACAGAGGACACATTCCTGCAAGCTAACTGTTAGTGCAGACACCTACTGATCTCTTGAGCCTCATGGTCAGCTGGAGACACTCACAGGCCATTCCACACAGTCTCATTTTCTCGTCCTCACAGCACACTAGCACAGGAGGATGCAGGCTCTTTCTCTGAGTCTTTCCAGAGCTACTAATTGTGTTTACAACATCGGAAAGATTAGCTTCCCAGGTCTTGAGTGATGTGTTTAATTTTCTCTCCAACATTCAGAAACTGCTATGCAGCCCTTCTGAGCACAAAGTCTCCCTTATTATCACTCCAAAGCTAGAGCAGGGTGTCACTATGAGGCTGCACTGGTGCCTGGAAGCTCTGGAGCTGGAGCGGGGAGGTGGAAGCTCTGGGACTGAGGGAGAAAGCTTAGTAGAACCTTCCTGAGTGTGGCAACTTTCCCCTTTTCTCCCTCAGCTGACACAGAGCTTCAACAGACACATCCTTGAGGACAGCCCAGAGACAAGGACGACTGTCCTGCCTGTCATGTTAGGTTCTGGGATGTGTTAGTTGGAGCCGTGTCTCTGAGTGCTTGACTGTGCTGTCTTCCTCTTGTGTCAGGGCATTATCATCGATCCACTGCTTCTACACCTCTGCCTGTGTTCTCGTCTTTATCTTTCCTACTTCATAGAGTCAGGGTCACTGTTTAGGAGACTAAGGAGAGAAAGTCCTGTCATAGTCCATACAGTAGACTTCCTGGTCAAGAGGCAGTCAAAGAAGTGACTGCTAGTCACCCTTCTTTTCTATACACATCTAGAACTCTGTCCTTGTCTCTTACAGCTGAGATAAAGTAGAGCCCACATTCCCATGAAGCACCCAGAGTGTCTTATAAGGGTGGGAAACATCAAGACTCAATGGTCACCTCTCAGTAGACACTCTTCTGCTTATTATGTGCTTATCCCTGAAGTCCAGCCTCTGCTTCATCAAGTTCCCACAGTTTCAGGTCTTTTAAGACCTTTGCATAATTACTTACTTGCTGTGCATTTTAAACATTTGGATGTGTGTTTCCTTAGCCAGTCATATGCAGGACAAATTGGATTCCAGCTATGCTGCATCTTGCTCTGAGAAGTCTCCCCTAAGTAAGACTTCATCCCCACTCTTCAGGATTGGATGATCTAATGGTACAAGGTAATCAGTGCAGTCTCACAGCAGTGAGAGAATTATAATTGAGGACAAAGAGAGACATGTCAGACTGCCCTGCAGCACTCAAGCACGACTTGGCAAATGACAGATGGCTTGGGCTGGATCTGCAAGGGTGTAAGTGAAGTACAGCCTTGGTCCTTTTCTAACTGTCTTCCACTTCCTGGTGAGAGAGCTAAATGCACGTTTCTGTTCAGATTCCTGGAGACAAAGGCTTTTCATTTTTCATTAAGGCTCACAGAGGTCCACCTACTTACATAAGCAGCCCCAGGCTTTTACTCTGTGTGCACAAGCCACAGAACACAAGGAGGCAGCTGATGCCAAGGAACAGCAACATTACTCTTCAGCTCTCTTGGTGTTGATCC